CATGGATCAGACTAAAAAATATAATAAAGTTAAAATCGATGTTGCTTTTTAGATTTATTCTATTCCCATGGATGCGATTTAGACTGTATAGAAATACATAGAGTTTTACCGGTATATAAAAATTGTTGTTTGCAAAAAGTATGAATTATTTGAAGGAAAAATTGATTTATAAATAAACTTCGCCATAGAATGATGGTGTGAAATATAAGGAATCAAACCAATTGATTTAATGCTAAATAAGCAATCAAAGTTATTTGATTAAATAACGGGTAATTACTCTGTTGTGATAACCTCCATATTTGAATCTTTTTCTCCAACGATCATATGGCCATTGCGATACCAGTGTATCTTGGGCGTTGGTCGACCCTTGACTCGGCATTTAAGAATTAAAGTACGACCCTCTTTAACGGACATTTTGTCACCAGTTTGAACAGAGACAGGCTCACTTGGATCAGCTGAAAGAATAAAGAAGCAGTTCCTGGAATGAATTAATTAGAAGTTCTATAAATATATATATGTTGCTAGTTTTTTAACATTATTAATAATAATTTAATAAAAACTTGCAAAGCTCATGAGCGCACTACAGTTGTGTTAGATAAACAACTGAGTTATAAGGCAATAAATTAGTAATTTGAGAATCAGAAAACAAATAATTTAGGCTTAAATGTTGCATTTTAGACTAAATATTACCGAAATCAACCAAGGAAAACATAAATTTAGAAATTCATTTTACTCTTAGCTCATCAATTTAGCCTAATTTCTTGGTGCTATATACCTCAATTAAAGATCAGATTTAAAATTTGCTACTTAAGCTGAAAGTTGGGCTATAGGCAAGGCTCGTGTTTCATATTGATTCAACAAGATTCATTAGCAGAAATTATAAAAATAGTTTATTTCTCAATTGAGCTTCATAGACAGGATATTACGAGAAGATTTATTCAGTGAAACTAGTCTTAAAAAGCTTACATAATAATGTATACTATTTATAGCAAAGTTCCGTAATCCAGAATATAGAATGTTAAAACTAATTTAACCATATTTTATTTTTGAGCAGTTTTTCGTGACTACCAGTAACTCAGATCTATGAATTATTTTCCTCCTATTCCGTTCAAGTTGGTGAATGATTGGCGAAGTAGGTTTACCAAAATGATGTGAGCATAACTGATGCTTCCATTGAATTTCACATATAATTGTTTTCCCAAAAAGTATTCTCATTCAGACTGAAGTCAATTGATGTTTCGACCTCGCGTAGGTCTTGTCAACATACCAAGTGGGCGTAAAACCATGACAGTGGAGTGTGTAATCTCGACAGGTTAACCACTACG